CAGAGCGGGACCCGTTTATATAATTTTTTGTACATTTCTACCAGTTTTTTCCATTATAATAATAATAATTTTTTTTTCTGCTTTAAATTTTAGGATTTTTCTTAAAATATACCAAATAAATCTAAAAATCCCCATCTTTCCATTTTTTCAAAGAAAAAAAGTTATCGCAAGTAGTCGGATACCTTAACCTTTGACATATTAACATCAACATCAGGGTTCACGATAATCTTCAAAAGAATATGATACATTATTTATTTTCAGCGACACCTTTATACGTATAATTAAGTATCAATCCTTACTTGCAACTTTCGGGGAAAATTTACCAGTAAAAGCAAAATCACTTAAATTGAACTCTGGAAAGAAAATGAAATCAATCGTCAATTATTACGTTTTTTTGTCAATTCAATACATTAAGGATTTCAAACCCAAATATAAAAATGGATAACTGAAGAAAAGTCATCGCATGACCAAACACAACACCAGGGCTCTTGCCATCACATGACAAGAGCCTTCGTGTAACAATAAATAAATTGTTAAGAAAAGTGCCTTCGATACGGGAATCGAAGGGGGGGGGGATTACAATCCGCGACACGTGGCTTTTAAAAGAAGACAGAGAGAATTTGTCAATTCAAAAAGCAGACTAAACGAAGAACTTCACGAAACCATCCTAGAGTGAACCCTGTAAAATCGCTTTGATTGCTTGGTTGATTTCTTTATTTACATTCATAATAAATACAGAAATAAATTGCACAATTATACTTTTTTTTTAATTAATCAATGGCTTTAACATTAATTTGTCAATCCTTAAATTTACTCATTGGAGATATATACTCTGAAGGGAGAATTTTTTAAAATTCCGTATGAAAAAGTTAGATATTAACACATTATAAAGTATCCTGATTTAAAATAAAATTTCTAAAAAAAGTTCACAAAATATAAGATTTATAACATAGGAAATATGAATAATATTTTGCACGAAGTGAAGAAAAGTCATATTATAGAACCTAGTACTAATTTTACAACGAGTAGTGAATACATTAAAATGTTTTCGCGACAGGATTAATTTCTATATAGGATTCTTAAGTTATTTATTAAATGAAAAGTTTATTGATCGAAAATTATCTATATTTATTTTACAATACAGTTCGTCTATTGCATATGAAATATTTACTATACTCTGTTTAATACTTAAATTCAACTTCTAAAAGTATGAGAAATTCTTAAACGAAATCGTATTTCATTGATAGCATGTCACGGGACAAGAAAATCAGTTCCTGACATTTTGTCTCAGATAATCATTACTTAGTCAATGTTTTGTTTGGAAGATAAGTAAAATAAATTCCTTAATACTATCGCCTTAGACGTATAAGACAAGGGATAACTTTTGACCCTAAAATTTTCAATAACCATTCAAAAGAAATGTTCTGGTTGAAACTTATTCACTCCCGTGGTATTACGTGTCATTGATTTTTATCTGATTTGTGAGAATAGATTTCCTTTGTAGTAGTATTACTAACAAAATATTTTTAAAAACAAATTGGTCTTAAAAAATAATACGGTGTATGATTTTATTACTGATAAAAATTCAACAAAAGTTCACTCGTAATATTTTTTTGACTATCCAAAATATTTGTTTTTATTTGTGTTTTTCCTGAAATTTTCCTTTATCTTTGCATTAAAAAATATTGATAAATAAAATTTAACGTTGACCTTGTACACATTAAGGCCTAATAAATTCTCTTTAGTACATTATTTCTGTACGAGGAATTTCAAGTAATACCTCTTATTGGATATAAAAATTATACATTATTTTTATTTTTCAACATTTGTGTGAAGTTACTAAAATCAGCGCAAAAAAAATTACAGATTTTATTTATATTACTCAAAATGCAATAAAATTATGAAAGAATCAAGTCCATTTTAATGATATAAAATTCGAATTAGGAGTGAATTAGAATCTTTAGAATGAAGGAGTGATTTAATGGTTATTAACGTCGAAGCAACACGAGGACTGTTTTCAACGAACGTAATTTTGAACCTCGGTCAACTGAGAAGGGTGACATCTGAACTAGTACCCCCTCTCAAAATTACCACAGCACACCAGCAGGAGGACACTAAGTCTCGACATGTTTAACGAGCATGAGTCCCTCTACACAGTGGGTCTTCACTAGCGGTTAGGCTTGAAATGAGACTCAGGCAGTGTCCTAAGATTTCTTGAAACCCTGGGCCCTTATGCAAAAGTAGATTCCATCTGCGACCTTTTACGTAGACAGTATATTGCCTAATTTGTCAAATACTCGTACTAACATTAGTCCGGGAATAATAAATACGTGTGATTGACTATCTCATAAACCTAGGTACAAACATGTTCACTGATTAATAACTTCCAATTAAAGGAGTAATGATGGTAGGCTTAGGGGCAGACACAGCATGCTCGACGGACATGACAAAATACAATCGTGCCTCTGTTGTCAGAAAGCATACAGTTCAAAATCCCCAACATCTGACGATTAAAATTATTTGAATCATAATTTGATTGAGTCAGTGGCGCACACAAGCGGGATGTCTTAGGAGTCCGGACCCCCCACCCCACCCCCATGGCCCTTGATTTTTTTTCGATTGGTTATAATCCTATGTATATGTTACATAAAATTTAATTATGTATTTGTTATTAATAATTAACTTTATTAATTAATGCTAATCATTTATTCAATAATTAATTTTGTATTGTTTTTGTTCCCGAAAATCGATAAAATCAAAAGAATATGTTGGGTGGCGTATTGGAGCATGATACCAAAATGGTGGACTTTCGACCCTGCCTCCCTTGAAAAAACTTTGTGTGCGCTACTGGATTGAGTCATGAAGCCTACTATCATGAACAGGACCAGACTTCCTATTGAGATAGAGGTCCTGGGCCTTGACCCATGCCTTTAGACGTTTTTGCACGCCGGCTATGAGTTTATGATCTAACCACAAGGGTACAATGATCAAGATTCTTCAGAAATTTCACCTTAGAGATCTTTTTTACATCTCTAAAGGTCTGATTATTTTATTAAGAATTACATTATCAATCAATTTTGCAGCAATATGAATATATATTCAGACTTGCAATTTTTAGACCGTGAACGTGTTTATAAAAGGTTGTTTTTTGAGAGGTATAGAACTTTAAATTGCAATAAAACAACGATGTATTATTCGATTGACATGAATTTTTTTATTTGAAAGATAATCTTGTGGCATTATATTTAAATATGATTTCTGGCATAGGACTGCCACGGCTGGCTCGGATGTAGTCCAATCTGGACGTCCAATTTTCGATGACTTTTTCCAACATTTGTGGCCATATATCGGCAATAACACGGCAAATGTTATCTTCCAAAGGGTCAAGTGTTTGTAGCTTATCCGCATAGATCAATGACTTTACATAGCCCCACAAAAAATAGTCTAGCGGTGTTAAATCACAAGGCCTTGGAGGCCGATTCACAGGTCCAAAACGTGAAATTAGGCGGTCACCAAACGTGTCTTTCAATAAATCGATTGTGGCACGAGCTGTGTGACATGTTGCGCCGTCTTGTTCGAACCACAGCTCCTAGACATCATGATTGTTCAATTCAGGAATGAAAAAGTTAGTAATCATGGCTCTATACCGATCACCATTGACTGTAACGTTGTGGCCTTCATCGTTTTTGAAGAAGTACGGACCAATGATTCTACCAGCCCATAAAGCGCACCAAACAGTCAGTTTTTCTGGATGTAACGGTGTTTCGACATACACTTGTGATTAACTTCACTCCAAATGCGGCAGTTTTGTTTGTTGATGTAGCCATTCAACCAGAAGTGCGCTTCATCGCTAAACAAAATTCGCTTATGAAAATCGACAATTATTTTCGAAATAAAATTGCACAATTTGAAAGCGTTGTTCAGGCGTGAGTCTATTCATGATGAATTGCCAAACCAAACTGAGAATAAATCACTTGACAGCTGTTAAATCGGTCGCCATCTTGGAAAGTAATGCCAACTTTAATTTGGACCAACAAAACTTTATAAATAGCCTTAAAAATTTCATTCATTTCATACTTACCGTGTTAAAGGTTTTTATACCGTATTAAAAGGTTTTATTAGGTATTTATTTTTCACCCTGATACATATGTGTATCAGGGTGAATAGGAATAGAAAAGAAGCATTTGCATATAGAAAGAGACAAAGACCAAGAGTTGAGAACACTTTTGCTATTTTTTTATAAAAATTCTTAAAAAAAAAAATGCAAAATATATATTTCTAAAAACAATTTTATTTTGAGAAAATAGCATCTTCAAGGCTTATGATAAAGGCTGATTTAACGTTCTATTAAATCAGCATACGCATACCATAATCAGCATATTTTCAACATGTACTTGGAACAATATATTAGTAAAAAAAGTAATGCATAAGTGTAAAATTTTTTCAAAAAATTTTTAAATGTGTGTGTGTGGCATTTCTAAAAGTTTTTAAAGAATCATTCAGAATCTATTATAGATTAGTATTTGTTTTAATCAATAAATAAAATAAAACTTTAAGTAAATATTAATTCCTTAATAATTAGTTAAATTTCATAAAATAAAATAAGAATTTCTTTGAAGAGTAAATATTCTGTGGAATGATCAAATACTTTTTTTGACACGATTGCTACATATGGAATATTAAATAAAAAAAACAGTTTTAATTAAAATATTTCTTTTACTGAAACAATATTATTTTTCTTCTAAACATGCTGCCTTTTTTAATTCCTACTATATATAATAGTTCACACACTTTCTCTCTCTCTATATATCTTGTTCAAATTTTCTGTCGTTAATAAAATACTTTATATTCATCCACTCAAGTTCAATTACATTTTTTGAAATTTGTAGTGGATGACACTTAATGTTTATACACTTTTTCAAATATTGATTCATTAATTAATTGTAAATAACAAAAATAATAGTCCAACAGCATATATAGTAAGGAAAACCGCTCGTTGTGTCCCTGTAGTGCAATGACAGCGCATTGGACTTCTAATCCAAAGGTCGTGGGATCGAGTTCTGCCTGGGATGACCTAATTTCTGAAAAGTGATTTATTTTTACCATACTACTTTATTGGAAGAATTAAATTTAAGTAATGAGAATAAATAGTAACAAACAAAAAGTTCTTCAACACTATATATAGAAAGTAAAATTTAAAATTGTAAGAAAAATCGCTTTCTATTTTGCCACTTAATATTCTGATTCTGCCATATGTATATACATATTTATATTAATTATATAATTATTTAATAAAAAGTAACTAAAATAAAATTTTCTCTGTTGAACTAAGTAGAAATGACTTTTTTTAATATATTACTTGTTTATTTGTAGTTTCATTGAGTACATGGGCTTCTCTCTCTCTCTCTCTCTAAAAATATAACAAATAACACATATTAAAAAAGGATTATTGTTTTAAAAAAGTACGTCAACAATAATACAAGAAAGGAATTAATATTCTAAAATAAAAGGAATAAATTATTTTTTAACTAAAAAAAATGCTACAATTTTCAAAAAGTTTATTTTTAATAAATTTCCTCATCTTTGAAAGTTTAATATTTTGATAATGAGATATAAACTCTCTTAATAGATACTCTATTATTTCATTTTAATAAGATTATTTTAAGTCTGTGTGAAGGTGACCAAGATCGGAAACGTGACTTCAAGAAAGCGTATAAATGAATATGTTTTTGATATTTAATGGGTCGCGGTAGCCGAGTGGTATAGGTATAGGATCGTGGCTTGCTTTGTCACGAGTTCGATCCCAGTACCACTAAAGACCCGCCGTGTAGGGCAGCGATGCACGTTAAATCTGTCGAGAGCTGAAACGTCCTCCAGTTGGTGTGGTGTGGTAGTTAGGAGAGGTGGTGCCGGCTCAGGTGTCGTCCACGTCACTTGACCATGGTTCAAAATTACGTGGTCCGTCGCCAAAAGCCCTCGTGTAGCTGATCAGTGCGACGTTAATATTCAATCAATTAACCAGCTTAGGTGTCGTCCACGTCACTTAATAATGGTTCAAAATGACGTGGTCCGTTGCCAAACGCTCTCGTGTAGCTGAACAGTGCGACGTTAATATTCACTCACTCACTTGATATTTAATGTCAGTTGAATTGTAGTATATACATATACAATCCTTTTAAAAATATTATTACGAGAAAAAAATTATTTTTAAATACAATTTTTTGGCAAAAAAGGAAGAAAGAATGATATATTTTCAAAACACTCCTTTTATGAAAAAAGGTTTTTAATAATAATAATATTTTTTCTATATATAGAGCTATTGTTTCTAAATCGGCTCGAACTACAATTTTTGAAAAATTCCGATTATTTTCTTATTTTCAGAGTTACGATAAATTAAAATAATAACAGATGTTTTTTGTTAAAGTTTCTCTACTCTAATATATAATAAAATATGAACAAATCCATTTCAAAATTATGTATTTCAAAAGTTTTAGTTCAAACCTTGGTATGAAAGTCCTAGTTATACAAAAAGGCAAAAATATTATAATAGAAGTATATTTTTATGAAAGGCGAATGTTTTGAAAATATGTCAGTCTTTCTTCCCTTTTTTGTCAAAAAATTGCGATTAAATACTTTTTTTCTTTTTGACTAATATTGTTTAAACAACTTTATATGTATACGCTTATTCAAGAGCCACTAAAAATAAAAAAAAAATTATCCATTTATATCCTTTTTTTAAAATTTACGTTTGTGAACATAGTTAGTCACCTTAAGGTATCCGACTACGTTTGGAACCGTAATTTTATAAAGGCGCATAAATGGATACTTTTCATGATATTTAGTGTCACTTAGATTAGAATGCAAGTATAAAATTGTTTTAAGGATATTTTGGCGAAAAAAATTTATTTAAATACAATATTTCGGCAAAAAATTAACTTAAGATAACCTTTTTCCAAAATGTTCACTTTTTGTGAAAACTGCTTCTATTATAATAATATTTTGCCTGTATATAGCTCAGACCTCTGTACAGAGGCTCAACTATGATTTTTGAAAAATTGACATTATTTTCAGAGTTACAATCATTTGAAATAATTATCAGCGTTTTTTTCTAAAAATTTCTGCCCTCTGTTGTTGTAAAACATGGATAAACCCACTTCTAAGTGATGTATTTCAAAAATTCTAGTTGAGCCTCTGTACAAAGGTCTGAGATATTTACTGGCAAAATATTATAATAGAAGCATTTTTCACAAAAAGAGAATATTTTAAAAATGGGTCATTCTATGTTCATTTTTTTTGTCAAAATATTATACTTAAATAATTCTTTATTGTAATAATACTCTTAAAACAATTTTATATACATGTATAGTGACACTAAATATCATAAATATTATTCATTTATACGCTTTTGCAAAATCACGGTTCCGAAAGTAGTCGGATACCTTAAAAGCTAATACTGCTTTTTATGCCCTTTTTTATTTTCTTCCGATTTTACAACCTCAGAGTGGTCACTATCTCGTATTCTAGAACATTTTAGAGGTTGGTTAAAAAGTTCACGCGCTTTTTCAATATACCTAGAGATAACTGAATGTTTTGAATTGTAAGCGTTGTGAATATTTTTAGCTGCAAATCCGAAACAGTTCAATATTTTATCCAATTTTTCCTCTTTCATGGCATGAAAATGTAATGCTGTTTATAGGACAGTAGCGCACAGAAATTTTTTTCACGGGGCGGCAGGGTCCAGAGTCGAAAGTCCCCAATTTTAGTGTAATGTTCTAATACGCCGCCCAACATATTCGATTTTCGGGAACAAAAACAATACAAAATTAATTATTGAATAAATAATTAGCATACATTAATAAAATTAATTATTAATAACAAATACGTCATTAAATTTTACGTAATATATACATAGGATTATAACCAATCAAAAATAAAATGAAGGGACATGGGGGGTGTTCGGACCCCTAGGACACCCCCTTTGTGTGCACCACTCTCATAGGATGAGACAAACTGTCCTTAACGATAAGTTGTTAACCTTTAATATGCCTTTAAAAATAAAATATTTTGCTCCCAAAATATTCATGTGACTTAGGTTTGATTCGTCAATTATTAACGATGTATTTCGTAACAAATGTGATTACTATTGGCGAAAGACCTCGCAATCATGAACCATGTCCAGTGAAGACACACACACACATTTCAAATCATGCTAATTTGAAGGATTTTGAGCCTTGACTTCTCGAAAGAGGTGGCCGTGGTAGCCGAGTGGTCAAGGTATTGCATCGTGGCTGGCCTTGTCACGAGTTAAAGCCCAGTACCACTAAAGACCCGCCATGTAGGGAAGAGATGCACGTTAAATCTGTCGAGAGCTGAAACGTCCTCCCGTTGGTGTGTTGCCGTAGTTAGGAGAGGGAGGTGCCAGCTCAGGTGTCGTCCACGTCAATTGACCATGGCTCAAAATTACGTAGTCCGTCGCCAAAAGCCCTCGTGTTGCTAAACAGTGCGACGTTAATATTGACTCACTCACTCTCCAACGAGATTTTACACATATTGTTCCTTTTTTATCTCAGAATTTAAAAAAATCATTTTCGAAAAATTAAACAAGGTACTATCATTAAACAATAAGCGTCACCTCTAATTTGAATATTTTTATCCCTGCTTCCTTTTCAGTTAAAATGTGACTATTAAGAAAGCTTTTAAAATATCACATTTGTTTTGATTGAAATTTAAATCGCTTAATTTTGATTTTTTTAAACTTGTACGCATTTTTTCATGTTTTTTTTGTGAGAAAAAACTTAAAATAATTGTTATCTGGAAAGAGATTATAAGAACAATATATGTTATTTTCTTTATCAATTCAATCAGTATTGCAGTACTACAGAAATATTTAAGTCTGCTTTCACACACACACACACACACACACACACACACACACACACACACACACACACACACACACACACACACACACACACACACACACACACACACACACACACACACACACACACACACACACACACACACACACACACACACACACACACACACACACACACACACACACACACACACACACACATCCGTTTGATCTGTAATAACATACATATTTTTTTCCTTATACACATTTGTGTAATATATTAAATGGGCCGTCTTGTGGAAGGAGGCTGTTACATATTTAATTTTCGGTTTCTCTAAATCGGTTATTCTAAGCCTTTTTCTTGTTCCGATATACTTTTAAGGTATCCTACTATTTACGACAATTTTGTTTTTAGGAAACGGAGATATGGAGATTTTTTTTTGTAGTTTTTAGTTTTATTTAGTACATTTTAAGAAAAAAAAGGATACAATTAAGAAGGTAAACATAAATGATTACTACTAAAATGGGTAAAAATTGACAAGAAAATTACATAAACGGGGCCCGCTTTGTACAAATAGTAAATGAACAAATTCTCAATTCTTAAATTTTGATGTATTACTCTGCTATTCCTTTTTGAAATGACCTTCACATTATATTTTTATTTTCACAAAAAGTAGAGAACTTTATCTTAGTTGTTATATGAAATTGCTTTAAAAAAAACTGTAATCATATTCACAGAAAGAACTGTAAGTTTTGAAATAAAACAGTGATTGATAAATCTGAAAGTAAAAAATTTTTCTACGGTTATACAGAACATACATAAAAATCTTCAGCAAATTATCTTAAAAACTTTTTGAGCAATCGCTGTCCCCGCGTTTGAGCTTTCGAAAAAAAGCACATTTCGAGTAAAGCGCATTTTAAAGATTGATATCTTATGTAAAGTTATGACATCTACTTTTACTAAAACACGTGTAGTTTTTGTTCTAATGAATAGAAAATAAAAAAAAGTGTGTGTGTACTTATGTATGCATGTAAGAAGTTATACTTCTTTGATAAAATTCTTTCTAAAAATCTCTTGAGCAGGGCAATCTAAGCCAAGGATGAAAGTCGGTCACGAGCAGAGTTGAACGATACCATCCTTAAGTCAATCGGACCACACACAGCCAAACCCGAGATAATCCCAATTTAAATAAATTTAAACACCCCCGCACA